ACTTAGGTCCCTAATTCAGGATACATTTCTCACTTATGTCATCTTCTGTCTTGATTGAGTAGAAATTAATGTGGTAAAGTGATTTACCACAATGTCCAAACTTTTAAGGGTGTCACCTCTCTTCAATAGCTGGAAGAATTTTTCCACCTTGCACCCTGGTACCTGGGGGCCTGAGAACTGGAGTCACCAGGCCATCCCAGTAGATCCCACTGTGGGAGGTCAGTTGGACGGATGGTGAGTCTGGAAATAGCTAATTATTCAAATGTACCCACTCTGGAGGTGGCGCAGGGTAGAACCCGGAACTCTCTCCTGCTAGTGGGCGGGCAGGAAAGGACAGTGCTGTTAAGTAGTGCAGGGACCCTTTGCTTTGTGATTAAGGGAGAATCTGCCGTGTTGCATGTTTGTAGAAATGCTCTCCCCCTGGAGTTTGTCAGGAAATGAGTCTGAGTGGATGCATGGACAAAGATCCACTTTTGTTTTGTTTTGTTTCGATGCTGAATTCTTTCATTGAAATCAACAAAAGTAATTTAGCCTTTGTGTGTGATGTTCTGGTTCTGGTGGGTTTTCTCTGAAATGTTTTAGAGGAGTTCTGATATGAAGTATGGTTGTTTCCCATATGTTTGAAAAATGGCAGCTTAAGCACTCAAGGACTTTAGAATTCTTGCATGTTTGGTCTTAATTTGGAAAATGACATAAGCCTTTAATAAATCTGCAGCAAATCAGAACCCTGCAGCAATTCTGAATCACTGTTTTTCACCAGCTTTGCAGAGATGAAGCAAAACTTATTTAGGGGTTAATATAATACCTCCTCGGCTCCAAACTCTGCTCTGCTTGCAAATTCACTCCAAGTGCCTATACGAATTTTTCCGCAAATAGAATTCTCATCTTTAGGATGCTGATCAATGTCTTGAATTCCCAAAGATAGATTTATTTTCAGTCTATTTACTAAAGCATGAAGAGGGACTAATACTTTTTGGAAATAATTTTACAGGAACTGAAACAGTAGGTGCCTTGGTGTCAGATGGCTTGAGTTTGAATCCTGGTGTAGCTGCTTGCTAGCTGAGTGACCTTGGGCAAGTCCCTTATTCTGTCTATGCCCTACTCTCCTCATCTGTATATCAGGATATAAGTAAATACTACTATTAAGTGAACTAATATTTTAAAGTGCTTAAGAGAGGGCCTGGTACTATGTGAGTGGTTTTTAAATTAGCTTGGGGGACACCTGAATGGCTCAGTTGGTTAAGCGTCTGCCTTTGGCTCAGGTCATGATCCTAGGGTCCTGGGATCGAGTCCTGCATTGGGCTCCCTGCTCAGTAGGGAGTCTGCTTCTCCCTCTCCCTTTATTCTTCCCTTTTGCTTATGCTCTCTCTCAATAAATAAATAAAATCTTAAAAAAAACCCCCAAAACACAACAAACAAACAAAAAACAAATAAGCCTGGGTGAATGCTCACAGAATTTAATTAACCGGAACATTCCAACTATCAACTCTCCTCATTGTTTAGGACTGGTAACAAAGTCTAAATAATTTGTGTATATCTTTTGAATTGAAGGCTGCTAATTAGTTATTTAATGTCTTATTTGACACAATTTCTGACTTCATGAAAAGTTGAAAGAATGGTATGAAGAACTCCCATAAGTCCTTTACCCAGATGCACCAGTTACTCACGTTATGCTCATTTGGTTTTTAATTCAGTCATTCACTCTTCCTCCCTTCCTTCCCCTTCCCTCCTTTCTCTGTTTTTTTCCCTCGGAATCATTTGAAAATAAGGTGGAAGCCTTTGTTTCTTTATTCTTAAATATTTTAGGGTGTATTTTTTAGTAATAGGGACATTCTCTTTCTTATCTACAGTATGATCAAAGTCAGGAAACTTAATGTTGATACAACACTGTAATTTATTCTGCAGACTATATTTAGAAATTATTAGTTGTCCCAATAATGCCCTTTAGAGCTGTGTGTGTGTATATGTGTATGTGTGTATGTTTGTGCAAATGTATATATGTGTGTGTGCAGTTTATTCTGAGGAAAATTGTGTGTGTTGTATTTTTTTCTGGTCCCAAGATGCAGTGTATGATCACAATTGCATTTCGTTGCCATGTGTCTCTGCTTTATTTGAAACCATTCCTTAGAGATTTTTTTTTTTGTCTTTCATGACCTTGACACTTTCAAAAGCAATTACGTTTTAGAATGTCCCTCAAATTTGAGTTAGTCTGATTTTTCATCCTGATTAGATCTAGCTTTAAGGTCATTGTGTCTTCTAATTCTAAAAGGAACTGTGATATTTCATCCCTGTAAATTTTTAGACTGAAAAGATGAGGAGGAGCTTGATTCTTTACTGATTGACATGTGTGCAGTGAGGTGGGTGTAGCAAAACCAACAAAGATATTCCGAGGGTGCTTATCTACAAGTAAATGACTGTATTCCCAAAAGAATAATCCCCTTAGGGAATTCAGCATACTAATGGTGAGGACAAATAGATCAAGAGAAAAGAGGTAAAACCTCACTATTTCCTTGATAAAAAAAAATCAAGTGTCGGCAGAATTCTTTCCTATGTGCAGTGGAAATAAATTAAACATCACAAGAATGGTCTCCTCTGGCTGGGAACCTCAAAGTTTCTTGGTACCAGGAAACATAACCAGGCATTCTGCTCTTCTGTTGGAAAAGAGTGACTGTCCCTATACAGTACCAACACATTAGGGGAAAGATGAAAAATGTAGCCTGGCATCTAAATGCTGAGTCTTTGAAGTTCATTCTGAGAATGACTGGACGCGTGAAAACATTTGTATTTTTTTGAGAGAGAGAGCATGAGTGGGGGGGGGATGGGAGGGGCAGAAGGAGAGGGAGAGAGAGAATCTTAAGCAGGCTCCATGCCCAGCTTGATCTCACGACCCCAAGATCAAGATCTGAGCCAAAATCAAGAGTCAGACGCTTAACAGACTGAGCCACCCAGGTGCCCCAGTAAACATTTTTTCTTAAGTCTAAATATGGGTGGTGTCTTTCATCATAAAAAACACTGAGACTCTTTAAAAACAAATGAGTATGGAAGCACATGGATAGAAATCACTGTGCTATGGCTGGGAAACAAAAGAGAGAGAAATGAAATGACTGGAAGCAAATGCTTTTGGTGCCACGCACAGAATTACTGATGGTCTTGAATGCACTCAAGTTCAGAAGTGACGAGAAAGAGTTAATCCTTTTAAGCCAGTGCCTAGGGTATGCCCTGGGAAAATCTGACCAAATGAGTTACTGCTCAGCCTAAAATTAAACTCCTGGCTCCTTGTCTGGCATACAAACTATAAGATCACATTTCTTTTCACTGATGGATCCATTTTTTAATGAATTGAAAAAAGAATCCCCAGTGGTTCCTTTTGTATGAAGAAAACAAGATAAATATTAGCTAGGAAAGGTCATTTTGGTTTCCAATATGTGGGAAGTTCATTATGATGGATTCTGATAAATTATACTGTGTATTTCTTTCCGATAACGGAAGGTCACACTGTGCCCTTGGGTGGACATCAGGACAAACATACTTAATAAAGTTGGAGGAGGTGGGAGATGAACATTTTCCAGTGTTTTATTTTTACCCCTGAATACGTTATATTTGTATAGTTATTCAAAGCCACTCCTTCTTGAGCTACTCACTCAAAGCTCACTCTTTTTCCTTCGGCCCCAAAGGAGTGGGTCTGCAAGTTCATCACCTACAGTATTCTCTGGGCAAAGTTGGGTAGTTATCTTCAGGGGAAGATACCTAAAGAAGAGAAAAATCTCAGTTGTGCTTTGTGGCAGATTTGTAATGGGTCCAACAGGATTCTAAAGTAACTAGACTGTGTCACAGGATCATTTTAATCTCATATTTGCAACTTTAATATTTACCGATGCACATCATTATTTTTCCCCACCCTCCACCACTGGGAGGGATGTTTTTAACTTAACAGTGTTAAAAACGGTGTCGTTTCATGGTCCATTTTTTTTTTTCTCTTGAGATGTCTTTGGTTTGGAAACATCTGAATCCTTCTTGCAAAAATGATTTTGCTGAGTAGAAAAGTCCTTTTGGGTCTGTGCATTAAAGGAGTGTGTTGAATGTTAATTATGGTATTAAAAAGCATTCTTTGTATGTTGATGTGATGTTTTCTATTGGAAAGACTTTTCTCTCTTCCTCCCAAAAACATTTTTCAAAAAAGATCCTCACAGAGTGTTTAGCAACATCTACAGGTTTATTATCTCACAAATCTAGGAATTCAGATCTTCATGCTGGCTTTTCCACTGCTGTGTGAGCTTGGGCAAGTTGCAGAATTCTTGGGAATGGACCATCTCCATTTCCATTTTCATCCCATTGTTAATGACATGGGGAGAATGAAATTTTGCATCATGAAGGTTGGGGATCCTCTGTCAAGTTTGGAATGCCTTTGCTGCTGAGATAACTTCTACTTTAAATTTGTATTCTGGGGGTACCTGGGTGGCTCAGTTGTTGAGCGTCTGCCTTCGGCTCAGGTCATGATCCCGGAGTCCTGGGATCGAGCACCGCATTGGGCTCCCCGCTCTGCGGGAGGCCAGCTTCTCCCTCTCCCACTCCCCCTGCTTGTGTTCCCTATCTCGCTGTGTCTCTCTCTGTCAAATAAATAAATAAAATCTTTAAAAAATAAAATAAAATTGTATTCTGTTAGCTAATCCATGATGAGTTAATGAGTACTGGATTCTGTGTCTTTTCTCCCCCGTATATTAGGACCTCTTACAAATGTGGATGCATCTGGTTGCCTACCATTGTCCTGAAACTGCAGGTTTCATGGTAAAAAAACCCCATTATTCTGCTACTGGAAATCTGTTTGATTTCAACATTAACATGCTAATGACTTCCTGTCCTTGTTGTTTCTTAAATAGGTCTTTCCAAGCTAAGATAATTTTTTGGAACTGCAGAAATTGTTGGCCCTTGCTACAAATGGGAATTTGGAGTTGCTCTGAAATCCATTCTGAAATAATTGTGCTTGACTGGAACCAAATCTTATGAAGTCACCAAGGTAAAATGATTTTAAGAGACACCTAGAGATGGTTTCTTCATGAAGCATTGAGAATTTAGGAAAATGGAGAATCCTAGAGTTGACAATCCTTTATAAAATGTTTCTTTTTACTTTGAATTTTTGAGTATTTTGGGAATCTTAGTTTTTCAAGTTTTAGTTCTCATTTTGGAAATCATTTCTGTTTGTAAAGCAGTGTTTTGACTGTTTGGTAGGGTGAAAGGTGAGATTTAAAGATAAACCAATTTTGTTTTACGTTTGAGCAAAATGTTCAAGGGGGAAGAAATTGAAGTTGAAGTATTATGGTAGATGTGGTAGGTCAGAAGTCCTTTGACTGGGGGTCTGGATTATTGGCCACAATAAAGAATGATTGCTGAATAGCTATCCAGTTGTCCCCTGGCATTTTCCAGACAGTGATAGCTATTGTAAAATAAATGCCTGCCCTAGGCCCTGGAAGCTTCACCCAGGAACCTGGTACATAGAATTGTCTATGTACGAAGACGGATCAGGGATCAACCCCTCAGGTTGGAAAGGCTGTCCTTGACACTTCGGATTTGGGGTTTGTTGTTGGGATCCAACCAGGAAAACAGACCATTCTGATAATGTGGGACAGAAGGAATTGAATTCACGGAACGGATGTAAAGGGAGAGTCAGAGAAGTCAAGCAGAAGACATGGAGGCTGCCTAGAGATAAGGAACGAGAGGAAGCTACCACCGTCCCCAGGGCTGGTCAGACAAATGAAGGAAGTAGTGTTTGCCAGCACCTAGGGGTAGGGGCCCTCAGTGAGAGCTAGAACCAGAGTGGGTCTTCTGGCCGGAACTGGCACCATGCGGGAGAGATGGCCACTCCATAGATCCTGCCCAAGATGGAGAAGGTGGGAAGAAATACCCCTACCCTTTTTCTTCCACCCTCCAGGCTCTAGCTACTGTCTCCTATTGGTTAAATCCAGCTGATTCAGGGGCCTGGAAAATGCAGCCCATGGGAGTGACCTAGGGGAAGGGAAAAGAATGGATCCAAGGGCAAAACAGGCCCGGGAGGGGATGGGCTTCCTATATGAAACCTCTTCCTATGACATTTTAATGTCACGGCATGGTCTTTTATACCTCAGGATGGGTCTTCTCTTGAGGATGGGTCTTCTCTTGAGGATGACTCCATGGCCTCAGAAGGTAAATTATGCATATTGCATACACCATCTTCTGTTTGAGGTGGACGGTAGTAGATGCTATGATGCAGAAGGATTTATTCCCTCACTATCCAAAGCCCCCTTTTGGAATGAGGACACACCCAACTGAAGAAGATGACCTACAACTTCTTTGAATTATTCTCAATTCAAAGAGTCAGTTTCCTAAAATTACCCATCTTTTTAAGGGCAGCTCATATCCAGTGATGGGTTAACAGGGAAGTATAAAGCCTCGGCCCCTCCCCCCAGCGTGGGACCACCGAGAAGGAGCATTCCAGCTTTGGAACTCTCCGCTGGGTTATCTGAGGCCTTCTGTGCTGCCTCCTTCCCTCCCTTGCCTTCCCCTTCCATAGGTGATATCCCTGGACTACCCCTTGATTAACCTCCTGCTCACCAATTCCCAACCTTGGGACTCAGATCATCTCAGATATACTCTCCAATTTGTTAAAACCCTTCCAGACAAGTTTAGGTGATATAGGGCCTGATAAACAGATGGAAACTGCATTTCAGTGGTACATTAGGTAGGAGAGATTATAGATCACCCGAAAGACCTAGTCTGAATTTGGAGACTAAATTGGGTGGGGCTTTATGGTTAGAGGCAGGGGAGCCAATGCACTAAGCAGAAGAAAAGTATTTAATGATACTCAGTGGAGGGTAAAGAATTAAGAAGCCAATAGGGATCTGGGCATCTGGAAATTGGATTAAGAACAAGAAGGTGGGTTTCAGAACCAGATTGAGTGTGATAGGTTTATTAACAAGGAGAGAGAGCAACGTGTACTCGAGGTTCTCAGCACCGTTGCTCACATCTCAGAGAACAGATGGTGGATAACCTGGACTGGGTAGGGGGGATGCTGGTCTGCAGGTCAATCTGGCAGCACTGGGGAGTGACAGCTGAAGGAAAAGATAGTGAGGGAGAGCACATTACCTTTGGGTAATGTTTTCTTCATCAGAGTCTGTTTTCAGTGATATAAATCTTGAGATTAACTTGTGTGATTAATCACTTAAATCAGTTAGACTGAATACCTAGTTGGACCTTTGTAAACCACATATATGGATAAAATTTTTTTTAAAGATTTTATTTATTTATTTGAGACAGAGAGAATGAGAGAGAGAGAGAGAGAGAGAGCACATGAGAGGGGGGAGGGTCAGAGGGAGAAGCAGACTCCCTGCTGAGCAGGGAGCCCGATGCGGGACTCGATCCAGGGACTCCAGTATCATGACCCGAGCCGAAGGCAGTCGCCCAACCAACTGATTGGATTGTTTGCCCATTTTTGGTAGACAGAGTTCTAAGATGGTTCCTAAGATTTGTACCCTTCTGTGTGTACGACCTGGGTTATTTCCTTCCCTTGACTGTGGGCAGGTTTGTGAATATGATGGGGTTCACTCCTGTGGCTAAGTTATGGTTATATGACAAAGATGAAGATGAAGGGATTTTGTCATTGTAATTAAGGTCTCAAATAAATTGATGTTGAATTAATCAGAAGGGAGATTATCCTGGATAGGACTGACTTGACTTGGTGAGCCATAGCAAAGGACTACACCTTTCCTGACAGAGGAGATTCAGACTGAAGCAGCCTGAAGAGGGTCCACATATGTGGCCAAGTTCAGGATGCCACATCTCAGAGCTGAGAGCAGGTCCTGGCTGATAGCAAGAACACAGGGACCTCAATTATATGGGCCTATGGAAATGGATTTTGTCAACAGCATGTAGGTGATTAGAAGCCATTATTTCCCCAGTTGAGCCTCCAGATGAGGACACATCCAGATGACATTTTTATTTCAGTCCTGTGAGTCCCTGAGCAGAGGACCTGGCTAGAATGTGCCAGACCTCTGACTTAAGGTAACTAAGAAACTATGGAAACCATGTCCATATTTTTTTAACTTCTGAGTTTGGCAATTTATTTGTTATGTCAAAACAGAAATTAATACCCCATTTATCTGATTCCTCAAAATTCTCCCTTTTGGGGCCACTAATTGCTGCAAACTGGAAGCCAAGGTGCCTTATTCAGCCTGCAGATGTGTTTTACTTGGTCTATTTTGTACTCTGTTTTTTTTTAAATTTTTTTTTTAAAGATTTTATTTATTTGAGAGAGAGAGACAGAGTAGAGGCAGAGGCAGAGTGAAAGGGAGAAGCAGACTCCCCACTGAGCAGGGAGCCTGATGTGGGGCTCGATCCCAGGACCCTGAGATCATGACCTGAGCCGAAGGCAGACGCTTAACCGACTGAGCCACCCAGGCGCCCCTGCACTCTGTTTTAAAAATAAAACAAATTGAATTAATTGCCAACATATAAATTTGGGTAAGAACCTTTATAACAATGAGATCAATAACTAATATTGGAGTTAACAACTGGAATTTTAGAACATTATGGGTGGGACAGAGCACTTCATCCACAAATTTAGTGTATATAGAATTTTGAAACTACATGCTTTCCCTACTTAGTAGTAAATAAATAATCAGTTCCCTGAAATGACAATATAATTAATGGAAGTTGATCCTTGAACAACACAAGGGTTGGGGCACTTGACTCCCCATAAACTTAACCACTCAGAGCCTACTGTTGACTGGAACTCTTACCAATAACATAAACAGTCAGTTAACACATATTTTATATATTATATGTATTACCTACTGTATTCTTACAATAAAGTAAGCTAGAGAAAAGAAAATGCTATTTAAAAAAAATCACAAGAGGGATGTCTGGGTGGCGCAGTTGGTTAAGTGTTCAACTCTTGGTTTCAGCTCAGGTCATGATGGCAGGGTTGTGGGATCGAGCCCTGTGTCCAGCTCCCTACTCAACACAAGGTTTGCTTGGGACTCTCTCCCTCTGCCCCAGCCCCTCAAATAAATAAATCTTTAAAAAAATCATAAGAAAGAAAATACATTTATAATACCACAATGTATGGTAGAAACTCCATGTCTCAGTGAACTTGCACAGTTCAAACCTGTGTCCTTCAAGGGGCAGCTGAACTCATACCAAAGCTCACGTAGACCCATGTATTTTCTTTGCCACTTTTTGAACTGCTCCCAGGGTGTCTATCTCCCACGTGTACAAGATGAAGCTGGGGAGATGGAAGGTGGTGCTTTGAGAAATTAAAGCACGTGCAGGGCCTTTGAAGCAGAGAGACCTGATGTTCCATGAGTTTGGAACAACTCATGTACGATGAGTTTGGAATGCTCAGGATTTCCAAGGCCAAGGGCAAAGAGAAGCCAAGACTTTGTGTCTCCTCTAATGTTTAGTTGTTCAAAGATGATCTTAGAACCTTGTCTTGCCCTGGCTGCTTCAACAGCAGACTGAGTCTCACATCAATGAACTGTATGATACCTTTCAACAAGATCTATTTGACTAAATCGTAAGAGGCCAAAAGAGAAGGGTGGGGGTAGAACCTGTTCTCTGGAGTATGATTTGGGTGCTAGGTCCCCAAGGCTGTGCTTTTCCTCAAGCACAGACTCAGGGTTCTGGTTGAGATGCTGCTCGTCTCTGGTTGAGACCCTTCCTTCCAGGACTTCAGGAGATTTGCCTCTAGTGATGCAAACAGGAATCCACATATATATATGAAGGGGGTTCCTTTGACCCAATGTGGTGAATTATATCATAGACACCACGATACATGTGCCAGGCAGAACCTAATATCACTGGAGTTTCAAATGCCAAGCTCTCTGTCCCACTTTGCTTGAAAAAGTTAATTAAAAAAACTAGCAAACAAAAGTTAATCTAGTTCTATCTAATTTCCCTATAATGTCTAATTAGTGGAGATGTCAACTATTCTTCAATTAAAAAAAATTGAGGGGAGAATGCACTTTTAAAAAAGATTTTATTTATTTATTAGAGAGAGAAAGAGAGGCAGAGGGAGAGAGAGAGAGAATATCTCAAACAGACTCTTCCCTGAGCACGGAGCCCGACTCAGGGCTCAATCTCATGATCCTGAGTTCATGACCTGAGCTGAAATCAAGAGTTGGATGCTTAACTGACTGAGCCACCCAGGCACCCCGAAAATGCTTTTTTGATATTTTCTTTTTATTTAATTTCTTTCAGGTTTTTTTGAGAATAGTAGACTACACATACACATTTGTGAACTGAATTTTCTTTGAGCAACTGTTTTGATACTGTCCATCTGTATGAAGTTAAGTTTATTTAGCTGTATTGATATATAATTGACACATGACATTGTATATGTTTCAGGTATTCACTGTGCTGATTTGATACATATATAAATTGCAAAATGATGACTACCATAGTATTAGCTACCACCTCCATCCTGTCACATAATTACCATTTTTTTTTTTTTTGTGGTGAGAACATTTGAGATCTACTCTTCGCAACATTCAAGTATATGATAAAGTGTTATTAGCTATAATCACCATGCTATACATTAGATTCCCAAACTTGTTAATCTTGTCACTTTTTAAAAAAGATTTTATTTATTTGAGAGAGAGAGAGAGAGAGAGAGAGAGAGATCACAAGCAGGGGGGAGGGGTAGAGGGAGAAGCAGACTCCCTGCTGAGCAGGGAGCCTGATTTGGGACTTGATCCCAGGACCCTGGGATCATGACTTGAGCCAAAGGCAGATGCTCAACCAACTGAGCCACACAGATGCCCCAATCTTGTCACTTTTGATCAATATCTCCCCATTTTTCTCTCCTCCCAACCTTTGCTAACTACAACTCTATTCTGTTTCTCTGAGTTTGTCTTTTTCAGATTCCACATATAAGTGGGATCAAACAGTATTTGTCTTTCTCCATCTTATTTCCCTTATCATAATGCCCTCAGAGTCCACCTAAATTGTTGCAAATGACAGGATTTCCTTTGTTCTCATGGTTGAATAATATTCCATCGTATATACATACCACATCTTCTTTATGTATTCATCTGTCGACATCCATATGAAGTTAAGGTTACTTTACATTCACCTATACTTGCCCATGTTCCTACCAAACTTTGAGACTGATAATCATTTATTAATGTACAACCAGAGAAACCAGGAGAAAACCCTCAGGCTAAGTGTGACAATTTCTGTGGTTTCTTTGAGGTGTAGAAACCATGTATATTTTATTTGAGTCCAGCTCTAAGTGTGTAGCTTTCTAATTTCATGATATAAAATATTATGTTACCCCATGTTCTATGAGGATAAGTCACGTGACACAATGGGGCTTCATAAATAGACTTCTCATTGAAGCTCATCGCTAACTTGGAAAACTCGTAATTATAAAAAGCGTTCATTGGAAATTGAGTTAATGCACAGTGGGAATCAGGTTTCATTTGCCTTCAGTGTTCTTGGGGGGAAAGAAGTCCAGCGCTGAGCATCTCTTGCGTGCTGTTTTCCTCTAGTTTCCCCCAGACCATGCTTGAGTGTCTGCCGCAGAACCTCACCTCACTGAGTCCTCACTGACTTGTGTCCTGCTTTCTTTTCAGGATGAGAGTCTATGCTAAATCAGTGTTGCTGTCACACTGGGTCTTTCTGGCCTATGTGTTAATGGTGTGCTGTAAGCTGATGTCCGCCTCGAGCCAGCACCTCCGGGGACACGCAGGTAAGCCCTTTAAGCTCATTATGCACCACAGAGATCAATTAATAAAACCCTTTCAAATGTCAGAGTCCACATTTTAGACACAGGTAATTGACAAGAGTGTTTGATGGTGTGTAAATAATCAGAGGAAGCCTGAGATACATCAGAGCAAAGCAGTTCAATGGCTTGGTGCTAAGAGTGTTTTCTAGACATTTTTTTTTTTTAAAGATGTTTTCCAGGGTTTTTTTTCTCCTTTTCCTTTCCTGAGTACATTTCCATTCTTAGAGTGATTTTTCTCAAAGAATCCTGGAAAACCAGCAGCCCTTTCTTTGCATATGTATTACTCCTGTAACTTCCTTTGAAGGCAGGACATCTTTATTGGTAAACTTAAACACTTCCAGGGCTAGAGTGAAGCTGTCAGATAATCTAAGACCTTTTTAACACGTGTGGAGAAAAGATGGTGAATGATTTAAAAACATAAAGAAGAAAGAAAAGGAAAAAAGCAGTGGTAGCTGTAACCTGGGACCTAAAATAAAATGTGTCTAAAGTTTTAGAGAATCATTCTCATAATTTCTCATGAGACCCTTGTCTATACTTGGCTTCTTTCTAAAAAAAAAAAAAAGATGAAAATAATTATTGAAGTATCTATGTGCAGGTGCGTGTGTATGTGTGTTTCTGCCCACCCCTCCCTCCTTTCCTTGTTACATCTACATTTAAAGTGATACAGACTTGGAAACTCCCCAGTGAAATGTGTTTTCCTGATAAATTCATATTTGTTTGTGGACTCATGGCCAAATAATTAATTTACTGTCATTGCTTCAGTAATTTGAAGTGTGGCAATGACAGGCTTGCTTCGACTGCTTGGTGAAAAAGTGAATCTTGAACCGTCAACCAGGTATATGTCCCAGTCATAAATTCTGTCTCCCACAGGTCTAATGTATGGACTTTATCAGATATCCTTACCCTCAGACATATAGCAGGCAGTGCTTTCCACTCAGTTTTTCTGATATTTTAAGGTGAAGATATAATATGAGGCTTACAATGACTTTAAAAAATCTCTCACGACTCATTTTTCTCGCCTCAAGTGGGAGTTCAGAGAAGACGAGAAAAGTAATTGAAATTTTAATGAATCAGCATAAAATCAATACCATTTGGCTGCTGTGAAGTGCCTACAGCTAGTTGGTCATTGCACTGTGTATCTTTTGATGAGCTTGTTCTCAAGGATAGAGAGTTTGAAGTTGTTAGTCTTATCTGTTTAATTCATATCTCTTTTCTTGGGTGGAGGTTGAGAGTCCGCGTAGCAAGCAGGCAGAGCATTTCAGTGGGGCAGGTTATCAAGAGCAGATTTCCAGACTTCCAGGAACTCGGCTTGAGAGATTGTGTTGAAAAGTGATTAAAAGTAGAAGGAAACAGAAGACATGACTGAACCTTCAATTTTTATCCATGTGGCAATCTTCATTTCTTTGAATTTAGAAAAGGCACCAGCATTGGAATAAATCTAAGTTAAGATTAGAATTATATACACAAGAAATACAGACAATATCTTCTATATAAGCGGACTCAACAGCAATCAGGACAGCGAGAAGTCAGAGCAAAGCCTTGGCAACTCCTGCTCAAGGAATGACATTTTCAGCCCTAGAATTCTAGCTGATTTTATTTGGATTCCCAGCACATGTCCTTTGGCTTTGGGGGGATTCCTTCGGCTTTCATTTTTGGGATTTACATCCTTCTCACCCCTTGTCTGAACAACCCATGGAAGGAGTCAGAACTGGTTCGTCCCTAGAGGGGGCTCTGTTCTCTCATTTTCTTATGCGCGTGCACGAGTGCATGTGTATGATATTTGTGATACAGAAAGAGATTTTTTTTTATGAAGTATTGGCTCACACAGCTATGTAGGCTGAGAAGTCTCATGATCTGCGGTCGGCAAGCTGGAGACCCGGGAAAGTCAGTGGTGTGGTTTAAGGGTTTGGGAACCAGAGAGCCCACGTGTACTCTAGTCCAGGTCTGAAGAGCTGAGCACCAGGAACAGTGAGGGCACGAGAAGATGGATATCCCAGCCCAACGGTCAGGCAAAGAACAAAGTCAGCTTTCTCCCACCTTTTTGTGCCATTCAAATGCTCAGGGGATTGGATGAGGCTCAGCCACATTGGGAGAGCCATCTATTCCACTTGTCCACCAATTTAAATGCTAATCATTTCCAGAAACACCTTTATAGACACACTCAGAAATAATGTTTAATCAGATACCTGGGCATCCCATGGCACAGTCAAGCTGACATATAAAATTAATCATCACAGCTCTCCTTCCAGAAAAAAAGAATGTGTATACCAGTAATGCGTTTATGCACTTACATATCACTATGCCCCCTGTTTTGACTTTTTTCCCATTTAACAATAGAGTTTATGCATCTTTTCATTTGAGCACTTACAGATCTATCACTCTCTGTAACACTGCATAGTCATCTATGGTATAGAGGTGCCATAAATGATTTGATCACTCCCAATTTTTGTGGACATTTGACTTGTTACCATATTTCTACAAATATGTATGTCCTGACTTCAGGTGAATTCGTAGTAGCGAGATCTTGAATTAAAGTGCACGCAGGAGTTATCAGTGAGAGTAGCCTAATTGCTGTAACCAAGAGACCAAATAGACATTATGGCTCAACAAATGGAGGTCTCTTTCTTTCTTTTCTTTTTTTTTTTAAGATTTTATTTATTTGAGAGAGAGAGAGAGAGAGAGAAAACACGAGCGGGGTGAGGGGCAGGAGGAGAAGCAGACTCCCCGCTGAGCAGGGAGCCCGACGTGGGGCTCGATCCCAGGACCCTGAGATCATGACCTGAGCCGAAGGCAGATGCTTAACCGACTGAGCCACCCAGGCGCCCCGGAGGTCTGCTTCTTGCTCATGTGTCCTGGAGGTGGGGGGTAAATATATCTGCTGGATGACCCTCCGGTACTGCAGTCTTTTTGGAACCCGTGGTGGATGGAAGTACTATCATTTTCAACCTGTGGCTTCCAAGGCTGTCCTAGAGCAGCCTCCATTCCAGCCAGCTGGAAGGGAAATGAGCGTGGAGGCTTCAGCTAGGAAGTGTTAATAAGCCGGCCGAGGCTCGGGCAGCCTCTCGTGCACTGTCCTGCCATTGGCTAGAGTCTAGCCTGTAGGCACGTCTTACTGAGGGGCAACTGGGAAACGCTCTAGTTGTGGGCACAGGGAGACCGGGAGAACCGGACCTTTGGTGAGTATCTTGCAACTTATGATGCAGTGCATTCACGTTTTAATTGCGCCAGAGTGCTCTTCAGAACTCTTGGACTTATTTATACTTCCACCAACTGTAATAGTGTGATAACACCCATTTCCCTTTACACTTATTAACTCTGGGTGCTTTCAAGTTTTAATTTTTTGCCAATCCAGCAATGAAGATGTGTCATTTGTATGGGCTTGTTATCTCTTTCTGACTGACGGGTCTCTTAATGTGCTGGTGGACTATTTGTTTTTATTTGAGCTATTGCATTCTTTATCCACTTTTCTGTTGGCTCTGTTGTCTGTTTATTTGATGATTGGCAAAGCTTTTTGTAGATTGAGGACACCGGAGCACTTTGACCATCCCTCTCCTCCTTCCTTCCCTCCTGCCCTGCGTTCCTCCCATTCTAGCGAGGCTCTGTATTCCATTGGGGGTGGGGTGGTGGTGGTGGTGGTGGTGGTGGTGGTGGTGGTGGTGGTGATGATGATGATGATGATGATGATGAGAGGGTTGAGGACTGCTATAAATGTTCACTAATGACCTTCAGGGGAAGAAAGTCTATGCTCTTTACATGGCCATGTGGTTTTCTTCCTAGTATAGAGTTCAGCTGATGGAAAACTCAGGGTCAGAACCAGTGGGGTGTGGGGAAGTCTGTCTATACCTAGATGCTGAGAAACTGGTCAGGTTTTACTCCACTGTGGAGGTACCCAAGGCAGCTCCAGAGCAGGAGCAAGCTGCTGAGGGTTAACTGCAGAAGCCTGTGCATCAGTGTCCAGAAGGGCTCTTGTCACTCTCCCAAGGGCTTTGTGGTTCGTGCTGGCCAATTAACGGAACTGTGGTCCCAGGAAACCCTAGTTAATGTTTATTGGATGCTTTTAATGGCTCAGATTAGAAGAGTGGCTTGTTGATGGTTGCGTATCAACGAGGAGAGATTTCACAAGGGCTCTCAAAGATAAAGGGGAGGAAGGTGGGACTCACCCCCAATTTTGAAAGATGAGGTACTAGGTGTGGCTTGAAGTTTTCCTTTTAGTTCAAGCATTGAAAAACCAAACCTAATAAAACCCCACCTAATTTTCATAGCATAGGTCAGGGGAGTCTTTCTTTAAGGCAAATGGCTTTTTTAAACTTCCACGAGAGTCCAGAAGTGGTATTTTTAAGGAATTAGGAAACACAAAAGACCACCTGTGTTGTTTTTAAAACTACTTGAGGTAATGAGTGTGAGACCACGTGGACTTTTGAAGCCTCAAGCTATAGAAAAGGAGAAAGGATCAGTGGATGGGAGAGTTTCTCTTAAAAAGGAAGCCAGAGTAAACTCTGTTCTTTTTTTCAAGAGCTAGCGATTTCTTCTTTTGTTCTTTTTTGCTCTAAGTAGCACCGTTTCCCCGCAAGAGGGCAGCAAACATAATGCGGTGGAAAGATGCTGGCAGTTTCAGAAACTTGAGAATCCTGTGGAATTAATCCTGTGGGGATCTTTGCAAAAGTTTCATCTGATGTAGACATGATGAGTTTGGGACAGTAAGCACCCCATGCCCTTGAGATTTAGTCATAGGAATAATTGGACACTCCAAAAAATTAATAATTTCCCCTTTGTAGATAGAACCAGAGCTCCTCTCCGGATGTAACAGAGAGGTAGGAACTTAGGTGCTGCTGGTTTGCAAATTCATTTCAGTGGTTCTATTTCCCCAAGGGAGCTTTAAGTATGACCTGGCTGGGGGTGTGTAAATTGCAGCAAATGCTGTGCTGTTTAGCTACCATTTAATATCTGTTTTGGTGTAAAACCTA